TATACTGTGCATAAATTCATAATGTCTACATAGCATAGTGAAAAGTTCATCAGAACAATTATCATAAAATTATTTATAGAAAAGGCAGAGGGAAGCTATGTTACGGTGGTGGAAAAGGGAATAAAGCTGAAATGATGTAATATAATATTTATTTAATGAAGAATCAATGTTTTTATTACTTTGAATCCCCCCCAATACTAAAATCGGAAAAGATTATAGTCAGAGTAGTCTTGTACAATTCCAGTCGAATCCATTGCATTCACTTACGTGCTAATACCCTTGGGAAAAGTATGAATCCTCTTTTTCTCCCTCTCCAGCTATGGGTAAATAGCAGGACAGACTGGGTTTTATGGCCTCTTGGTTGGCAACTGATGTACCACAGAAAGAAATGGCTTCGTCAGTCAGGTATCAAAAGATGCAAGATCGCCTAAGCATTTATCACGCATGGCACAGAACTGATTAAAATTCACTTACGTGCTAATATCCTGGAGAAAGGTATGAATCCTCTTCTTTCAAAAAACTGCCTATCAAAAGATACATGATTGCTGAAGCATGTATCATGCATGGAACATAGCTGACTGACTTGTACAATAAGAAATTTACCCATATGATGACCCTAGTATCAGATAAACAGGAACTACAGTGTAACCCGGATATAAGAGAGTTGTCGGGACTGGAGAAGAAGTCTCTTATATCCGGGTTTGGTCTATTTTATATACATTAACACAGGCTCTAATTTGAGACCAGAGAAAATCTCTTATATCCGGGTTTCTCTTATATCCGGGTCACACTGTATTTATATATGTCCATATTTCCCTCTGGGTGGGGTAATTTGAGTATAAGCAGTGTCCCCCCCAAAAAAAGAGAGAACTATCCATGGGATAGCCAAAGATTTTATGGAATCTGACAGTTAAATGATGTTTGTGATGATGTAATTTTTATGAAATAAAAGTCTTGCTATGAAGGCAGAGTGAGAAAAAAAAAGATACAATGACAAAGTTTAAAATTGCCAAAATCCTACCCAAATTACTCCACACCAATCAGAGATGGCTATAAACAGTATAGCCATAGGAATCAATAGTTCATGATGTTTGGCAGTTTCATGCTTCAAATTGTTAACATTATTAGTGTTAATTACTGTGTATTTATTTATTTGGATCTTTTGTGTCACGCGTAATTATTAAACGAATAAGGCTTATAATTTCTTCAATAAAATAATTGGGATTTTATTTTAAATAAAGGGCATAAAATAGTAATAACATGCACTTTTATTTAAAAGATACTGTCTTTAAATTTTTATACTTGTTGTATCATATATAAATCAAAGTATATGATAATATACTTTGCTATGATTCATTCACTTTTATGTTCAATATCTTTTCATGTTAAAAATTTTATGTTGTTTATATAACAGTGACTCTAAATGGAAACACCTCTCAAAAGAAAAAAATTAGTAACAGAACAACAATATTGAAGATGACAAAACCTCAAGAACAAATATATCTTTGGATCTTATCTTTCTTATATCTTTGGATCGTCTATAAATTGAAATAAATTGTATGTACATGTTGTCTGAATAGTGACACATTAAAGAAAATCCTTATAAACAAATACTTTGAATCATTTTTCCTTCTGGATAATTGTAGATTTTTATTCATGTGATTAATCTTCTCTCTTTACATCTGAAACATGCCAAAGACACATTTGAATTCTTTCTTTTCATTCCTCTATTGAAATGCTGTTCTTCATATCCTATAATGTCAGATCATTTCTGTTGATGCCACAGTTTCCCCCCCCCCCTCCTTTAAATAACAATTTGCCAGGGGCACAGATTTGGTAATGACATTCTGCCCATCCACAATTTCTTTGGTTGATGCTTTATTTAAACATAAATAGATGACCTCATTTAAGTCTTTTCCTCTAGTTAAGGAATTTACTATTTATGGACTCATGTAAAAGTCTTTTTTCTGCCTTCTAACAATATATTTATTATCAAACTCAGAAGGTGCAAATTCTAAATTTATATGAGAATCAAATGTCAACTTGAAAAATTTATTGATGTCACTACAATACTGTATATCATTTTTTTAAACATTTTTATCTGTCACACTCAATACACTTATCTTACTGAAGTAGCTACCTAATGAATCACTGTTTGGTACTTTAATATTGTTTACATATCTGTTAAGATGTCTATTTTTGCTTATTTTTTGTTTTTATTACACTGAATTTCATTATGAACTTTTTGTTGTCACTTATCATTACTCATCATATGATAAAATCACATCTTAGTGTTTCTTTCGGGTTCTTCTTTCCCTAAGATTAATTTTTTTCTCTTTTGCCTTAATATCAACTTTATTTAAAAAAAAAAAAAAAAAAAAAATATTAATTTCATTTACAGTTTAATTTTTGTTATTTTAAATAAATGTCTTAATTATTATTATATGCATTGTTATTGGGATCATCATTCACATCTTAGCTATTATTATTATTATACTCATAACTTTTCAGCTGTTGTATCCTCTGGCCATCTTCAAATGTCTTTCTTCATATTGAGTAACCTTGGAATTTTGAACCAAACCCTTTATTCAATTCACAAGGGTGGTATTAGAATGGACGTTATAACAAAGAAGCTAACTTGCTCCCTAAATGGGAACCAAGTTGTGCCTCTTGATTAGCATTCTCTAGGAGAACAAAAAAAAAAAGGAGATTTCAAGTTGGCGGTCATGCATCCTCACTTGTCATATATCAAACTTCAATCTACTGGTAATCAATACTTATGTTTTACATTTATAGACTTCCAATAGTAAATAAAATGTATAACGGTTTGAATTGTTTGTTCTTATTTGACGCAAATACGCACACACCTGGCAACACAACAGATGTATTGTTCTCATTCTGCTTTTCTGGGGATATTTTGTATGAGTATTCACCAAATAATCATGTCTGTGTCACTTATTCATTTCTTCCACTAAAGTATGTGATTTTTCTCAACTGCCAAGGAACTCAATAGGCTTTAGCCAATTCCTTAATTCAATTGTTTCTTCCACTGAACAGGTTTATGACTTTTTGGGCATTATTAACTCTAAGAAGTAAACTCACAATTGCCATGAAACCCATGCTTTAATCTACTAGGCTGTATGTTATCCAAGAGGGCAAAAACATTGACTCCCAAATTTATTTTCATACAAAATTCAGATTGTTGTCACCAGCAACCACCCACAGACATTGGGGCTGGTCAGCAGCTTGTTGGTAAGAAAATTTGTTGGTAAGACAGACATTGAAATAGAGATAGCTATACACACTTGGAACAGAACTGGAGCTTATTCAAAGATAATTAGACTATCAAATATGTGGCTGTGCAAGTCCCCCTGTTGCTGCATACAAGTAAAAAAAAAATAAAGGCAAAATCAAAGTAAAAGACAATCAACAGAAGCAGTGATGCAGATATCATTGTTCAGCTGCAAGAACGACCTGCAAAAATTTCTCATTTTACACTGGCGGTTGATTTTTCCAAACAATTTTTACATAGGATTGATTTTTTCCAAACAATATATGCCTCTATGTTATCAGTGTTGTTGTCTTTCAATGAAGATAATTGAGTTGTTTGAGGGATTAATCTTGCTAGATGGCGGCTCAACAAAGCCTGAAGTCAATTGGTTTACAAGCCATCAATCATCTTGTGCTCTATGCAGATGTTAAGATGGTTGGCACATTCATGGACGCAACCATGTCGGCAGCAACTGAAGTAGCAGCAGCAACATGAAACAAGCCCACCTATTTGCCTCTGCTACCAGTAAGAGCTGCTTCCCCTTCCACCTTGCATATATGTGCCAGAAGGTATACACAAGTGTAGACCATTTCAAAAATACCTTCCAACTCTTCTTCAAGCCTTGAGTAAAATGTGAGTCTCAGGGGTCAAGTTTCCATTTTTCCCCCTTCTTCCATCAGATTATTTCCTGATTAACAGAATCTGTTCAAATGTTAAGCTCAGTTTGGTACAAGGCATAATTGGAGGGGAGGCTTTAGCAATAATTGTTTGCTAACCAGTTGTTGGCACTTTCTCGCATCTGAGCATCAGGATTGTCATCCTCACTCCTTATTCCCTTTCTTTCCCCTGGTGGCTGTGGTGGAGATGCCTGTGAATCAAAGAGAGTTTACAAGGTCATTCACATGAATTTGCTTTTGGTGGATAACTCTGCATGATGGAGAAAGTCACACACTTAGTAGGAGTACCTCACTCATGGCTCAAATGGGATTGAGACAGTCGAGATCTGGAAAATCTGGTTGCATTTGTGGAGTGAGAAACCATGGTCAAATACAAAATAACAGAATTGACAAAGTTTGCAATAAGCAATAACAAGAAAAAGAACAGAAAAGAAAAATAATATAAAGCAAGCAAACAATATATGCAAGGCAAATTAACAGTAATAGGGCAAGAAGTTCACAAACTAAGAATTGGCATTGACACGCAAAAACAAGTACGGACAAGCAAATGTAATGTTCTAACTTTAAGACAAGACAGATCAGGACTGAGTCAGATAAAACTGCAAACCAGTCTATTTTATTAGCTAGGAAAAAAATCCCAGCATGCATTTGTGTGCTTCTGCCTATAAAAGTGGAGAGGAAAGTATTTTGCAGGATTGAAAACAACAGCATCAAGCTATCTGATGGTCAGTCTGTCAAGGTGTGCCTTGGTTATGCCAACCTGACACTGGCACTGCCTTGGCTGTTGAGATTGTGTAGATCTTTGCCTATTTCACTGTTGGGGTCTTTAAGTGTTCACATTCACTCTGGTCCTTCTTCTTCAACCTTACAGCTACAGGACTAACCAGCGCTCTATGACAAAGATGCCATATGTTTTCAGTATATTAGAAACTCCATTGAGAAAAGTTATTGTTTTTATGGCACTTGTTATATTGTTTGGGGTTTTTTTAATTCTTTTTTGCTGTGCACTGTGTGCCTTTATTCATATGGAACAATTTAATTTTTATTTTCAGAATGAAAAAGAAGTTCTACAATTGGGAAGAATGTGTCAATCTAAGAGAAGTAAAGGTAAAATGAAAATCTCAAATTATTTAAACCCTTGTGCATTAATTCCAAAATCTTTTGGCCATAAATATAATCTGTTTGACTATGTTTATCGCTAAACGATTTTGGAAAAGACAAAATTATCACAAAAATAGAGATGCATGAAGAAATAGAAATACTCTTCTTTTTTTTCCTCTTACTCCCTTTATACAAACATAAATTCTTATAGTTAAAGGAATAAAGTTTAACAGTGGTTGAACTCATTTTCCCTTTAAAAAAACTATTGATCCCTGTCCAGACTCACACATAGCACCAATTTCACCTTTGCCCTTTCAAAATATAGATCCCTTTCTGAGCACACTCATAACATGAGTGTTACTTCCCAATTACAAAATATCAAAGTTTGTTTATTGCATCAGTTTTTGTAGGTTCCTAGATTTTCTTTCTTTTTCATATCAAATTATCTCTTTCTTTTGTACTAATGACTTTACTTTGTCTGAAATCAGTTTTGTAAATTTGATGAAAGCAAGAATATTCTTGAATTTAAAAAATCAATTTTATAAATTTTTATTTTCGGTCAATATACAAAAATAATGAAGTATTTTATTTTCACAACAAATTACAAAATTTTAAAATATTTTACAAATATTTGTTATTCAGTCAATTCAATTTTAAATACTGAAAATAATATTCTGACAAAGTGAAATGCCAGAAAATTTTAAAGACAGTTATCTAAAATGCATGGCTCCCCACTTTATCTGAAAATCTGGCTACATGATGTTATAAAGTTTCTGAACTGCTGCAATCATTTTATTCACCATCTATTCAGGTAAAATGTAGGACTGTTTATAATTCTGTTGTTGCAAGGAATTCAGAGGCATCTGTAACATGTCTTATATGTGAGCACAGAGGCTAGCATTGTATGTGGAAGTCAGCTGAGGTTTCCTCGAACCAGTTTCATGTCACACATGCATGAGAAAAAGTCTTCATCAATAGGAAACATGGAAAGAGCAAAAATTGGGTACATTGACTGAATGGTGGCTCAATTGGGATTTGATTTGATACAATATTCCATTTTGTCGGGTGGATATCTTATGTTATTTGCTGGCAACCCCCATTCATACACTCAGTTTTCCCATGCTATTGATAATCGTCTGAGAGAAGATATCATTTTTTAGCTCCAACAATCTTTCTGTGGTCAAGTATTATTAACCCTGTCAATATTCCATAGCTGCCACAGCTACACTACTTCAATATCTACTACATCATACATATGAGTGTAATTCAAAAAGTAATGCAATTTGTTTTATTATATGAGGAATATGGAATACAATGAAGCATATCATACCTCAACATATAGCTAGACATCATATGTTCACATCCCTCCTTCTCAACATAGTGACCATCTCTTTCCAGTCAGTTTTCCACCTATGAATGAGGGTATGTATCTCAGCTTCATAAAATTCTTCTGGCTGCTGACGTAGCCAATTTCTCACAGCAGTTTTCACTTCTTCATTATCACCTTTCTTGGCACTTTCAGACTTCCATCACTCAATGAAAGAGGCACTGATGGAGTAAACATTATGGTGGTGATGAACAAGTGAACACTGCTGTAAAAAAAAAAAAAAAGCTACATCAACAGCCAGCTGAGTTTTATGAAGCTGGGATACCTGCCCTCATCCGGAGGAGGAACACTGCCATTGAAAGAGATGGTGACTATGTTGAGAAGGAGGGAAGCAAAACTGCAATGTATTTTTTTTTGTGTTCATTATTTCTGTCACTCCCTGTATAAGGGTGTGGCAAAAATATCTCCCATATAATGGTAAGATATTAGCTAAATGAAGACACCATTGCCACTAATGTCTTCCCATTATGTGGGAGGTATTTCTGTTGCACCCTTTATAATAAAACAAATTGCCTTACTTTTTAACTCATTCATGTATATCATCAGAATTCCTTTCTATAAGTAGACAAAAGTAAAAACATCCAGTATCTCTAATTTTTTGGCTCTTTAGTTTATAAAGATTAAATGACAATTTTTTTATATACCAATTTGCTTTCATATTCATTCATTTCAAAGTTTCTTATTATTTGTAACAATTACTTAAACATTGTTTTATCTCCAGTTACTAAAAAGATAGTAAAAAATTTTCAAAACAGAAATCAGTTCTTCCAGTTTGTCCTGCGAATAATACACAGTGTCCACAAAGTCATTAGATAAATAGAAAGAATTATTAAAATTATAATGGAAACTGGATACTGTTGAAATGTTGATATAATGTGAATTTTATAGACAAATAGTTAATACATTTCTATACGGCCCCATTCATTGTATGAAGAATATTTTAGTTATATTCAATTTCTGTCCATGTCTGAAACATAAAAACATAATATTAATAAAACTATCAATATCATTAAAAGAACTTTAATAATAGCATAATAATAATATGTAGTAAAAATTTAGTTGATATCTCAAGTTTTTCATAATGACTTTGAAATTCTCTAAAGACATTATGGACATCCTGCATGACTAAAAGCAAAGCTACTTTACTGTGGAGTTAAGCAGAAATTCTTGCAGGTCTGTTATGACTGTAGTAAGTTCAATCCTCACTTAGATACCTGAAAACTTTTTTTTCTGTGCAAGAATGATAATTGGGCTATAAACATAATTTAGTCAAGACATTTAAAGTTAGATTCAAATTCGATTATAGAAGCTGTTCATTTGAAGCTATGACTTGTAAGAATTAAATATTGAATTTATTCATTACAAAATATTTATTCTTTTATTTTATATTCTTTATCTTTTTGCCAAATCTATTACCATTATCCTCACAAATCTTGGATGAAGAAGAGCATCACACACTGTAAACATCTTGGATAAAAAAGATATAGAAAATGAAGTGATAAAAATTGAAGATAATGATTCCATTTCAGTTGGAAAGTCTTGAATCTTCTTCAGTTTGTTCACTGTCCTAGTTTTGAGAATTGGCCAAATCCCCCCTTTTTTTTCCATCTACGCATTTAATTCTCCAAGATGAACACCAAAGTTAAACTCTTTGTCTTCAAGTTCATGGTTTAGGTGCCACCAAATTTCAAAGCCTTTGCTAGATTTCTGTCTTCCAACACCAAACTTTTTACTTTTTTGCAAATCACATAGCCTTCTTACTGTCATTTTCTATTATTTAAAATGATACAACATACTTTTTTATATCTTGCTCACAGAAACTTCATTATTATTCTAAAATTCACCCAATATGAGTCTCGCGAGCCACTCAAGATAGAGGGTTACAGCCAAAATGGTAATGATATATGATATGAGTGCAAAAAAGATGGTAAGAAATGAAGATTTTGAGGATAATGAAGAAAGATGATGATTGTCTCTTCACTTGAAAAGGGCAAGATTGCATGATTCTGTGCCACAAACTGATAGCTCTTGGGAAAAAGTTGAATGGAGCTTTCTTTTTATATTTAGGACATGAAGGAAATGAGAATGATTCAACTCCATGGAAATAACATGGTGTGTCTTAACTGTAAAGGAATTAAAGGATTGCTCTCATCTGAACATTTGCCATGGAAATAGTGAGAGATTATCAACAGGCTTGCAACATTGTGTTTGTGGGAAAAGAAGTTTCAGAGTAAAAAACAAATCATCATCATCCACAAGACCACATAAATGATTATGAAAGTTACAAACCAGTTATTTCTTTACTGAACTGTTAAAGCAAGGTCAGAGGAGATATTTTGGGAAGTGCTTTCAATGATAGCATCTGTATAGATATTTTACCAGTAAGCTGAGCCTGTTCCTAAGCAGAGATCCGTAATAAAAACAGAAAGATAGTAGGCCTGGGTTAAGGCCTTTGTGCGATGTGCCATTGTATTGGTATCAGAAGACTGGCAAATTATAACACCCTTCATAAACCCACTTGAGAGAAAGGACTTGATGATTTCATAAACTATTTCAGAAATGACTTAACTGGAGAGTTTGTGTAGCACCCCATTATGTACACCTAGTCAATAGCCTTTGAGATATCTAAAGCAATCACTAAAGTTGCCATCAAGTATTTCATTGATTCTGTGGGTAACAACAGTCAAAGCATCAGCAGTGGACTGAGAGGACCAAAATGTATACTGATTGTCATTCAGGAGATTACGTCTTGTTTATAATAGTTTCAAAGAGTTTACTAATGAGGCTGATAGGGCAATAATGTGATGAAGATAAATGGTTACCAGCATTCTTGAAAACAGGGTAAATAGTGAACTTCGACAAATATCTCTTTCAAGCAATCATTAAATAGTTTTTCCAGATTTGGAGATAAATCTGGGTAGAAGATCTTAAGAACAATAACAGATTTTATCTGGACCAGTAGCCTTTGTAGAATCAGTGTTTTTGATGATTCTGGAAATTTCCTGGGTTAATATTTAGGGGATTGAAGTCAGATAGAGGATAGCTCTTCTAACGTAGAACTTGAGACAAAGTTAATTGCAAAGAGCTTTGCCTTGTCAGATGAAGATGAAATAACCCCAGGGTCACTAATAACCATAAGCATAGATGATTTGCCTTGTTAGTGATTTTCCCAAACTCTTGGGAATCAAGTCTTTTATTGTCAATTCTTCCTTGAACTGACTGAAATGGACCTCATAAAAGCCCATCTTAAAAGTGAATAAATATTGCAGGCTACTAAACAGGTTTATGATAGATAAAAGAGAATGAAAAGGGGATTTTTCTTTTGAGATGAAGGCATCCTCAAAACAGGTTCCTCCCAAAGACAGTGCAGTTCAGTATGCTGGATTTTTGCATGGGAGAGATGCTGACAGATAAAACGAATCAATCAGTGGATTAACAGAAAACAACACTAAAAATAATAATAAACAGAAAAATAACAATAATAGAATTGAGAAAAAAATGCAGCTAGTTTGGCAAAAAAAGTATTTTATTTATTTATCTTTCATGACAGTTTGCATTAAATTCAAGATTGATATAATCTTAATAAGAAGCAATCAAGATATTCACATTGCTGTATTTATAAAAATATAAAGAAAAATGTTTGATGTAAAAAAAAAAAAAAATATGAAATACTTGATGCTTGTTGATGCTTGTTACAAGATTATCCGATGATTAATAATAGGCTTAACCTGGAAATCTTTCACATTTGACAAACTATAACAAACCTCCATATCTGCCTCTTTGACTCAAGTGACGTTTTATTTTTTATTAATATAAAGAAATATTTCAAACAAAACACACAATATTCTTTTAACTAAAATCTCCTAATTGTTTTATGAAAACTGTCACAGTTTTACTGTCATTTCAAGATTTTATATTTTTAGAGTTGTTCTTTTGAAATTGTTCAATTCCCCTTTGCTTGATTCACTGTCCAAAATATGTGAGAGGTTGCCGTTTTGTATTGTTTCTGTTTAGTCATTACGAAAACTGAATCATCCAAATATCGTCAAGCTGAAGGAAGTGGTGCGAGAAAATGATCAACTTTATTTTGTATTTGAATACATGAAAGAAAATTTATATCAAATGTTGAAAGACAGGTAAGAATTTATTCCTTTTATTTTCACCTTTCAATTGTTGATCTTCACCCATTTTCAAATAATGAAATCAACTCCAAAGAATATAGCTACAAATAGAAATTATGGCATTTCAATGTTTATATATGTCATCTTCAAGAAGATGGCACAACTATGATCGATTCAAGTTCCTTTTTGTTATATTTTTTTTCTATTTTTATAGAAGTAATAAATACAGTATGATGAAAGAAAACAAAACTCAAAAGAAATGGCATTAGGACAGAGCACAGAGATTATTGTGTATCTCTTAAGGGTACTTGTAGTCGGTGTTCAAGTCCAAGGAAAAACTAGTATTTTGAATGCTGATCTTCAAGACAGACATATCCATTTCCATTTGGAGAATGCAATGCAATGCACTCATTTCACTCCCAAGTCAATTTTAGCAGTGATCAGCAATGCAAGAAATGAGTAATTTTTAGTGCATTAAATAAAAACTGAACAGAAGCCGTCAAAGTGATTTGAGGATAAACTGCAAGAGTCTATAAATTATTTCTAAGGAAAACTTGTGAAAATGAATGGATGAATATTTGAAGTAAAAAGCAACCAACTGTTAAAATGTGAATTTATTAATAAATAACAATCTTGTCTAGTTATTCAACAGCTGTTGGTTGATTTGGTTTCCAAAAAGGAAATCATGCAGGTCACAAAGCAAAATGCTACTGTTAACAATAAATTATTAGCATAAATGAATGAGTTGATGATGATGATGATGATAGAAGAATAACAGTGACACATGAAGATGATGATGATGAAATACTGCAGCATGTTTTTTAACAGCAACAACAGCAGTGGTGTCTTATTTATTGTAGTTATATAACGTTGTCATAATGATAACAAGCTTCAATACAAAATAAAAACAAAATGTATTTTAAATTTTAGTTAAGATATAACATTCATTTCAAAAAGATTATATATTTGTATTTACTAAAGCTTTGTCTGGTACAAGGCTACAAATATGGGGCATCTAGTGTAGCTGGTTAATCTCAACTTATTGTGAATAAAATCATTGTAGATGGCCTTTGTAGATGCCATCAGTTTGCTAATTTTTTTAAACTTTTTGACAGAATTTAGTTTTGTCACATGTTTTCATTCTTCAAAATATTTGATTTTGTTTTTTGTTTCTTTTCATCTTGAAAATACAGCCACCTTTTTTGTCATTTTTCAAATTCCCATCATCATCTTTTTATTTTAACTTTTTCTACATTTTCCAAGATTTCCTCTAATTTGATTGCTTTTCTTTTTTTTGCTGGAAATACTCTGCATTTCAGATTTCATCTTATATCAATATTAGTTCTTTTCTAACAGTTGTGAATAATTCTGCCTGAAATTTTAATGTGAGTTCTAGTTGGTAATATTCAGTTGATTTAGAGGAGACTATCATTTTTATGTCTCTATCTTTCCGTCTTTCTCTATCCTTCTCTTTCTCTCTTTCTCTCTCTCTAAAACAGTATTGTGAGTCATTTATTATCTGTTCTTTTTCAACTGGGATTTTGTCTGTTGCATTGTGGGATACTGTAGATAAAAGGTTCAGTTTTTGCCAAAACCTTAAATAATCTAAGAGAATTTGGTTATGACATGCCACATTCCATTGCAGCTAATGAAACTGAACATAATTTCACTTGAAAAGGATCAGAAAATGAATCAACAAAAACGTTAAAAGAATTGAGAATTCATTGAATATTTTGTACAAAATGCAAGAAATAATCTTGAAATCCTATAAAATTTTGATTGCATTTGAAAAGTATTAACAGCCCTAAGTTTTTCTTTGCTTTTGATTTGCTTGGTAGGGGGCCATTTTTGTTGTCTTTTATGTGTAGCTGTTTGCATATTTGGGAGTAGAGAAATTGTGTAAATGTATACGGCTGTGTGATTGTTTGTCTGAGCTCAAGTGATCAGTTCAAAATATAAGAGAACAAGTCAGGACAAGATGTTGGCAATGTTACTCAACCAACTTGCAAAACTAACATAATATGGTAGCTATACATACATATCCTCTTTTGAAAAGCCAATATGACAAAGAGGCAGAGTGGACAGGCAGTGAATGGCAACGAGACTAAAAAGGTATTTGTAGCTTTGTTTTATAATTCTACAATCATGAAGAACTTCAACTATCTTTATATGCCTACCTGAGCCTGTTCAGATTTATGACTCCCATCAACACTACTTTAGATTCGCATATATTCTTTGCATGTGTGAATTATAATCAATGATGTCAGAAGAGGGTCATGTTTATCAGCTGTGTATGTTTTAGTGTTTAAGATTAGCTTAAAAGGACAAAGTTCTTTGTTACTTTGTATGTATACTATTTATAACAAGTTACCTAATATACATATTAATCTTACTAAATTTAACTTCAATCTGTTTATTTATTTTTATATATATATATATATATATATATTAATTATGATTATTTCAAATCCTTCTAATTATTTCTATCTGTATATCCTTGCTTGAACTGGCTTCTAATGCTCTGGATGGAGCGACTTTGGGGAGAGTAGTTGTAACTCGTGGAGGCACAGTCCTATGGGTAAAGAGAAACTCAAATGAGTTCCACCATGGAATATGTGATTGAGCGGCGCTATATCAAGTCTAATTTGTTATGGAGGCACGTTGGTACAGTTGGTATGGTGTTTGCCTCCTATCATAACTGTTCAGGTTTCAATTCTCAGCAGTGGATGCACATTGCTGATGAGTCTCAAATATAGGACGAAACAGCCGTCCAGTGCTTTCTGCATTCTGTTGAGGTTTCTTCTAGACTCAATGAATTACTTAATTATAATTATCTCAAATCCTCCTAATTATTTCTATCTATCTAAAATATATATATATATATATATATATATATATATATAATAAATTGATTTAAAATTTGGTTAGAACTATGTAAGGGAAAAAAAACATATTTTAAATCAATTAATTTATAATATTAATGCTCTGTAAATTTACATTGAGCACTATTTTGTAAAAATAAAAATATCTATAAGAACACCGGATTATATATCTTACTGTTCTTTCTTTTTATTTAAATACATATATATATATATATATATATATATATATATATAAAATCAAATCAAATGAAGAAATGTTTAAGAAATTATTCATTAATTCATTTGTAAACATGGACTGTGACTTTCCTTACACCCTTAATATAAAGATAGTAATAGTTACATTTGGCACCTACAAAATTGAAAGTAATTCCATGTTTTTTTTCCTTTCAGTCAGGAGCTAATCAACTTAAGAATTACTTATTCTTATGCCTAAACTTGTTAATGAGTTCAGATTTCTTATGAAGAAGGTAGTCTGGTTCAGAAAAAGTAATTTCTCCTCCAAACACAATCCACAGTCCTGGAACCTCCTCCACAAACTTTTGCCAATTTTACAATTTTCTATTCAACAATGAAGAATTTATTAAATCTATCTTTGTAATCCCATACATATTTAGAGTGTTGTATTTTAAACACAGTATATTATGTCGAAAAATGTTTTATGGTCTTAAAATATTTATTTTCAAATGTGTTTGGTAGACAACTCTAATTATATTTAACGTATCAGTTTTCACAGTGGCTTGATAAACAACATTCTCTGTCAAACATTTACTACCAACAGGACATATCTTCAGATAGTTACGAGCAGATGGGTCTTGTGTTTATGTGCCTAGTCTTGTTATTATACTATTTTATTATCTGTAGCATATTATCAGTGCAGCTTTAGCTCAGTTTTATGTTATCTTTATTAAATATTTTATGATTTATGGCCTTTATAGTTGTTTTCTCCCAAATATTAAACATTATAAGAGAAATAATGTAAGTTGGTAAGTTGTATCAATTATACATACGTGTGTGTGTGTGTGTGTGTGCGTATATATATTAAAACCCAGTAATTTTAAAAGTTACTCCAAAATTCGCTTGAGGATGAAATGGAACTAATGTCTTTAATTTAATTACAAAATTAAATTCAGGATTTTACCTTTCATTTTTGAAACATGGTTAGAACTGTGTAGTGAAAAAAACATTTTAAATCAATTAATTTATAATATATATATATATAAATGCATACTCACACTTTCTCTCTCTCTCTCTCTATATATATATATATATATATATATATATATATATAAAAAAATTAAAAACAGAGTAGGAGCCCTTAGGGAAACCTGTGTTTTAGTGACATGACATTGATACCAGCTCACCATCTGTGCCTGAGTTTTAGACAATGGTGTATACTGCAATATGGTTTAGAGTGATGACAGAGTCCAGTTCAAACAATTGGGTATGCATACATGCAACCTTTGTTTTAATTAGAGCCATTTGAGTGGTATCAGATTGTTGGCCTTCTCAAGGCTGGCTGGCTGGTTATTTGGAAGAGTTGCTGCACACAATGGGCATATGATACATCAGTTGTATTTTAATGTTAGCAACAGTGGTGAAACTGATATTCCTAAGATGTCAGACTACATGACATCTATAGCACAAATTCAGGGCAAATGTGACGCCAGGTGATTCAACATGATTGCCAGTACAGTCTCTCATTGAATATGTATGGGACATAATGGGACAACACCTGACTCATCCATCAACTATAAGAGGCAAGGAATATCATTATACAGGATGGTATTTGCCATCTGCATGATGATATGTCTCTTCTGCCCATAGTGTGACCTTAGTTCTGCTGATACACCCTTTATTTTGGAATTTGTGCTCATATTGATTATTTATTCTAATCCAACTAATTATATATATATATATATATATATATATATATATATATATATATATATATATAAGTAAAAGGTTTGTCGTTTAGCTGATTGATGTTACCTTCAACATCCCAACTCCAGACTTTTATTGACAGACCCTTCAGGAATCACTCCATCCACTCATCAGGGGGTATCAGCAAGTGACTGCTTATACTTCTCAATTTTTTTTTTTTATATGCACTTTTCATTAGTGTAAGTTTTTTGTTTTTTTTTTTCATGATGTATGTTCATGCACATGCACCAGTCTGTGTATATCACATATTCCACATGTTGCTGTACATGAATTGATGTTAAATGTCCCCACAATTTCAGAAATGGAATATCCTATGTGTTTAACAACCCCTATCATGCTCTGTTCGATAATTCATATTCCTTTGTCATGAGTAAGTCTAACTGATGTTCACACTGATTCGCTACGTGTCAGGCTTAAATTAGATAGGGTCTGGACATTTCCATAATGTCAAGATATAATGGCGCCACCAATCAATACCTTATTATATTTGTGTTACAAATATAATAGCATCATCTATATGCAAAAAAAGGCTAAAAATAATGGAAGCGTTATTAAAAAAAAAACAAATACTTAATAATATCAACTATGAACATGGACACAATATCTTGACCATGTTTTGAAAAATGAAAACATTATATAAATACATACATACATACAACAATCTATTTCCTTTTAACAGTTAATATATTTCAATCTTGAAAATGGCTAAATGTACAGCCAAAAGCGCTTGGATAAAAAGAACAATTGGACAGTTTTTATAAAATTTAACATCCGAAAAGAAAAAATTATTAGATCACATGAGAAATTGTATAAAAAAAACTAAATCAAAGCACCTTGTCTGTCTTATTCAAGGAAATATATATATATATATATATATATATATATATATATATAGTGACATAGCCCTCAATGTTGACTGTTAAATCAGATGTGTGATCAGTTTATTAAGGGACACACTGTCTTTGTGTTTCTTATTTTCTTTTTTTTTCCTGTCTAGACAGTTTTGTCTTGACTAAGAAAAGGCAGTAAGAAATCTGGGTCACTTAACAACTAGACACGATTGACCTCCTAATGGAGTAAGCAAAACTTGGTCACCCAAACTTATGTGATGTACACCACCACATGGAATTTTTGGTATTGTAATTTCAGTTTCCCGATAATCTTTGACCGACACAGATCACTAGACTTTCAGCAACTGCTTATGAGAGATGCACACATGAACTTATTCTGTTACTTATTGTGTAAGGAATAAGGAATATCATTCTGGGGATCCTGGATTTATTCAACTACTTGATATGAAGTGAATAAAAAGATATTATTATTCCCAAAGACCATGGATTTATTTGACTATTTGATGTGTAGAGAATAAAAGAATATTATGCCCAAAGAAGTCATCCCAATTTCATCTTGGATTTAATTTGATTACCAGAGGTGAAACAAAATACAAGATTCCAGAGTTGTCCAATTTATATTGTAGAATGAAGAACTACTGACTTTTATTTGGACATTTTAAAGAGATTCTGTCTATTTGCCATTATGACTATTTGAACTTACAAATTCATGAAACACGAATGCTTGAACTATTACCCAGTAACAGATAAGTGTCTTTTATTGATTTTTACATGTCATTCCATACTTTTCCCATATTTGGCTGTTTTTTGTTATATAAAATTGTTTAAAAATATTCAATTTTGATTGTTATTTGTCAGTACCTGTTTGTGTATTTCTATCAGACCAAAACCACCTTTTCTTTTCTTTAACTCTGGTTCATATCTCTGTGTTGCAATTTCATAATATATATATATATATATATATATATATATATATATATATATATATAGTTTTTGAATGGAGATTTAAAATACCACATCATAATCTGATGAGAAAATCTCTCTTATTTTTTTCAAACTTTACTTCCAAATAACTGCACATCAAAACTCATTTTATTGATTTTTGTAGCTTAGAAAAAAACATTGTATAAATTGTTGTTGGTTGTAAAAGTAGAAATCGTATAGAATCATTTTCTTGGAGTTGTCATTTTTCCTGCAGATATTTACACTCATCTCCACATTTTCATTATTTCTATTACCATATTTCTACATTTATATCTATATATTAAATATATATATTAAATTGTTCAATATTAAATATATCTACATTCTATTATTTCTATTACCATATTTCAGCCAGTTTCAGACTTTTGCATCTGATTATCTTTCATTACTTTTTTTTTTATTTCTTTGAAACTACATTTTTTTATTTTCCCAATTTGAAGATTTAAGGAGTTGAAATTTAACAAAAAAGCATTCAATTGAACAAGAGTCGAGATTACCACTGGTTAAAATATATTTTGATTGAAACAAGTGAAATGAAGATACTAGATCAAATAATTCCTTAAATAGACTTTTCTTACATAAGAAAACAAATTTCATCATTTGGCACATGTTTCATTTTGTTTCAGATTTAGCCAGAAAAAAAATGAACATTATTAGCATGTTTAATTTTATAAATTTCATATAAGGAATAAAAATCAGAACCCCTTTTTGTTGTTGATGTGCCTTGACTCTCTTCTTTTCTATGAATAAATATGTGATTTTGTTTTTTTTTTTTTTTTTCATTTTATTTGAAAATACTAAACAGTAACAACAAACTACTCACCTCTGTCTCTCTCTCAGGAGACAGTAAGTTCTAAAATCTAAAGAAATGACTTGTACAATTCACAAACACAGAAACATAACTGATATTGTTTTCCTTCTTTGTGTGTGTATATATATATATATATATATATATATATATATATATATACACACACATGGGGGTAACAAAATGATTGGATGAAATTTATTTTCTGTCACTTTTTGTGGCACAAAAGTTGCTTACACCAGATTTAAGCAAACCAAACATTTCTGCTTCAGTTGCTTCAACAATTGATAATTGTTTCCTTAAACTAATTTTTATTTCTCCAGCTTTCATTTTCTTCTATCTTTTATTTTTAGTAGAAAAGTGAAACTGTATTTTATTGTTGTCATAGTCGGACATTATTGTTCTGAAGGAGAACTAAATTATAAATGCAGAACACAAAGCGACCAGAAAGACAGTCATATTTGGATTGGCTTCATTTTCCCTTGTTGAATTTCTTTAGTTTGTATTAGTTTGCAATGAGCAACAAATCTTTCTAAAATCACATACAGAAATTTAAAAAAGAAAACTAAATAAATATAAATAAAATGTCATTTGTTATTTTCTCTTATTTGTCTCACTGTTCCAATTCAACCTTTTTATCCTTTCATTTTCCAGAGACAGATTTTTGTCCGATTCTGTAGTGAGAAATATTATTTACCAAGTTCTTCAAGGCCTTGCTTTTATGCACAAGAATGGTAAGTGTTATTGATTTATTTGGATTTCATTACAAATCAGCAAAATCATACAACAGATTTAATCCTGTCTTTAGCACATTCTTTCAAGTCTTGTAATAAAGGCAATTTCTGTTTTTTTTTTTTTTTTTTTTTTTCTAAAACTATTCCCACATGAAAACTAAGTAAAAAAAAAAAAAAAAAAAAAAATGCCAAAGTTCCATTGTATTTGGAAAATTTTGTTGTCAGTTATAAAGCTGAGGAAGAAATGAGAAATTTTTGTTCTGATATTAACTTTGGTTGCAGGTTTTTTTCATCGAGATTTGAAACCTGAAAATTTACTTTGCACTGGACCAGACTTGGTGAAAATTGCTGATTTTGGTTTGGCAAGGGAAACTCGTTCACAACCGCCTTACACAGATTATGTATCCACAAGATGGTGAGTATAAAAAGATAGAAGTGATGTGAAGTTTGTTGCAAAAATCGTTTTCTTACCAGAACGAAAAGTTGATTTGACTTTGAAATTCTGCATTTAATACTCAAACAAATTTCATGCTAATAATTTAATGTTGATTTCTTTGTCTCTTAGATTTCAACCCAAATATTTTTGTGTTTCTGTGTCACAGTTAATCTTGGCAATGGTCACAAAATGCCTGTATTAAAAAAAACAAATGTGTTACTTTTGGAAATTAACTTCTTTAACCTATAAAAGAGTTGTTGGGACACGAATGTAGTGAGCTGCCCACCATTCTCCTCTATTGATCACAGGTTGTGTGCCAGAGCCTGGGTCTCCACAAATGGTTTCTTGGCATGCTCATCATGTGAATATGTCATGGACATTTTAACCTGGCAGAGCCCATCCCTCTCCAGGAAATTATCTGTGATGATCAAAAAATGAAGTTTTGGAAAGATTCATCTGGAAAATAAATGTACACATTCAATACACATGGTTCCATGCAAAACTGGGAAATTTGAAACAAAACAATTTAACCTACCTAGTTTATACCGTCTCCTTCAAAGCAGTGTCTTTTTCTTTTCTTTTTTAATAAGTAATTATATAAGTAAATCAATAAATAGAATATCTTCAAATATTACTTGTTTTTGATTGTTACAAATCTTGAAAATGTTTTTTTTTGATTTTTGTCTTTATCTTTTAGGTACCGTGCTCCAGAAGTTCTACTACGAGCAACTAACTACAGCTCCCCCATTGACTTGTGGGCCGTCGGTTGTATTATGGCTGAGGTTTATACACTACGGCCCTTGTTTCCAGGCAGTTCAGAAATTGATCAGATTTTCAAAATATGTTCCATTCTCGGTACACCACACAGGGTAAATACAACAATGCGATCAAACTTTTTAAACAGACGAGATCTTAAATTTTGAATGTCTGTTTGGAAAATGAAAGAAACAATAATTTTCTTAGTCTCTTCAATTAACAAAGAATTAAACAAATTTTCACCTCATTATAATTCACACATTTTTATGACAAACTTCTAACATTAATTCATTTTTCTAAACAATGTTTGTTTTCAGTGATTTCCAAATATCTTTCAGTGCCTTGGAAAATAAAATTCCTTATAATGAAAAAAATCAATTTATTCCTTAAACAAAAAAACTGTCGGTTGTCGTATATTTATCTATGAATGAAGACAAGTTTTTTTTTTTTTTTTTTTTTTTAGTCGAAGATATACTAAAGTTTGCTCTGTTCATAAAACTAAAAATCAGTTTTACGTCTTAGCTTATTGTCAAGGGGAGATAACTCTGATTAGCAAAAAAGGATTTTCATTGATTTCTTGTTAAGTTTCATTATTCTATAGGTTGTTTCATTTTTGTTCTCATTTTTATTGTTTTTAATATTTCTGATGATATGTTCTTCGGCCTTCTTCAAATTAATGTAGTCACAACCCAAAGAATATTTCTCATTCATTCAAAACATTGTGTTAAAAACATCACAAATGAAAGAATCATTCAAAAATATCTATGAAACTGATTTTAATTTTTTTCTTTTTCAAAATCTCAATTTTTTTTTTTTTTTTTTTCCTCAAATCCTTCTCATTCTTAGAAATAATTTTTGTTATCTGCTTACTGTCACCAATTTTCTGAGGCGTTGTTTCCAGACTGGTTCTTTGTTGACTACCAGATTTTTCAGAGGAATCAGCCAAATAGATGCATCACTTTTCATGCCAATCAGGTAGAGTTGACAGAAACGGGTTTTAGAAATCATTTTCATGTTCGTTTCTTCTGTCTCCTCAATATCAAAATCTCCTGTTTCTTTTGAAAAGAAAGCGGAAGTTACTCATCCACATAACAACTTGAAACATTTGGAAACAATTTTCAAGTATAAAAACAATGATTCCAGACTCTGACACAACCCCTACCCAAAATATATGTAAACAATGCCTCATCCTATGTAAAGAAGCATCTGAACTTGGCCCCTGTCACAGTTAACTATAGAGTAGATACTGCCAGTGAATTTTCGATACCTAACATTTAAAATTAATTTTTAAGAATGAAAAAGCATTTTTGAAGCTTTCTTTTTAGCTTTAATTGAAAGCTAAATGATTAAATTTATTATTTCCAGTAAGCAAAATACTTTGGTGTATTTCAAATAGAAATTATATTGATTAGAATCTCAACTTTTTGCTTGCTTTCAGAAATTGTTTAAATTCAGCCATTTTTGACACATTTGTAAACAAAAGTTAATTCTTGGTTTTAAAATTCTTACAAAAATAAAATATATTTTTCTTTGCGGAATATTAGCTGATTTATAGTTTAATTAATCTGATTTGAAAAAAATATTATTTACTTTAACTTTAAAATAACAGAGAAATGGATTTTTAAAACAAACATTAGCACAATTAAGTGCTTGTCAACACCTCGTAATCACTTGACGAGGTGCTGATACTTTTATTATTGTTCTAAAGAGACCTTATCCTTTAAAACAATTTAAGAAAATGATAGGTGAACACTTTTTTATATAATTTTTAAGTACTCAGTAATTTTAAAAATTATATTCTCCATATTCTAATTTTAGGAATGTTGAATTTAAATTTACTATATACATATTACTTATTTTCTGATTATGTTGTGTATGGTCACCATACTTTGAAACAGGGGCACATTATGTATACATAAAAAACAATTAAAAATTTTTTTTAAATATTGTGTGTAAACAGCTTTTATTGAACTTTTCAATTTTTGATTCATAAATATAGTTTTCACTTAATACTACCACCTAACTGGATGGAAGCAATGCAGAATTTTAAACAATTTATAATATAAATTATAATTAAAATTTAAAAAATGATGACAGTTCTTGTAAAAATTCATTATTCATCAAAAACAATTTTTTTTTTCTTAATAATGTCCTTAATAAATTTTATTTATAAAAGCAATTAAAAGCTTTTTTAATTAAATAATGTCACAGTTTTATTTCATTTTTTTTTTTATTTTATGATTTGGAGCAGATCTTTGGGAACTGATTAGTAGTTTGAAAAAAAAGTTGATGATTTACATTCTCCAAGGAGTCCTGCTTTTAACTAATAAAACAAATTTTGGGATTGAAATTTAATTTCTCGAAATTTCATGAAATTAATTAAATAGGTGGTAACATGTAAAAAAAAAAAAAATTACCAAGATTTTGATAAAAAAAAAAAAAAATTTCAAAAATAATTTCATTTGTGAATAAGTTCTAAAAGTTTCACTAAAATCCAACTATTATTTGATTTTTACAAGAATTTCCAAATCAATGTTTTTTTTTCACAGGGGAAAAAAGTGCAAAAACACTAATCATAATTATTATGTCAACAAAAAAAACGTAAAAAAAAGAAAAGATTTTTAACAAAAATTTCGAAAGTGTTAGAAACAAGTAAAAAAATTTAAAAAAATAATTAAAAAATACTTTTGTTCTTTCCTCTTAGTAAAAACATAAACATTATGATTTTTTTTTTTTTTTTTTTTGACCTTTTTTTCATCATGCTATGCTGTTTTGTCAGTGTTTAACAGTTTGTTTTTTGTTTTGCCTGCCTGGGCAAGTAAGAGAGATTGGTTTGCAAAAATGTTTACTCTTTTCACTGTAAACCATTGCAACATACCAGCAATGAGACATTTTCTGATAAACTATCTAGAATGGGGAAAGTCGATTCATGCCTTTCGTATATGAGTAGCTTTGACCTAAATTCAAACAAAATTTGCTAATATTGTTTACTGTGCTCATAAATGTAATGCACCCCTTCCACACATAAACACAGTGTCATGTCTCAGTTTGAATGTGTAAAAATGATTTTACTTACAGATTGTCTTTGATGCAATTATATAAAGTGGTTGCTTAGAATTTTTGTTGCTACATATTGTGTAAACTCTGCAGAGGGTTCGCAAAATTCCAATTAAAGCTCTTTAGAAAATTCTTGAAATGTATTTTATCATTAGTATTATGTCTTTTGCAGAAAGACTGGGAAGATGGTTACCGACTTGCTGCAGCTATGAATTTCCGCTGGCCACAATGCATTGCAACAAATTTGAAAACAGCTGTGCCCAATGCCAGCAGTGAAGGTCTTAATGTAATGAAAGATTTGATTCAGTGGAACCCAAAAGACCGTCCCACTGCCATTCAAGTAAGAAAGACGAGTTTTCTTTTATTTTATACTCGGCTTTGTGTTTCATTCAAAGATTAAAAATAATTTGGGCAAAGATATTTTAGTAAAAACTGTAAATTGTAAAAACTGGTTTTCATGTTGGTAAAAATTTAAACTTTCATGAAAAACAAAATATGAAAAAAATTTCTTTTGAAGAAAGCAAAAGTGATTGCAAACTATTCTGCAGATTTTTAGTAAGATGGACAACAACATTGTCACATTCAACTCACTTTCTGTTTTTCAAAGATTGTGACTTTATCAATGATTCAAATATACAACTACTCAGATCTCCTTTCTTCTTCTGTCATTGAAGACAAAAGCAGCAGGCAATTTTTTGCACCATTTTTTTTCTCTGTTGCTAAACCCTTTGACAACAATCACTGTAGGGCAGATATTGTTGAATCCCAGTGAACAAAATGGAGTAAGGAGCGGGGGGGGGCATAATACAAGAAACTGAAGATTATAAGTGTTATATAATTATCATTAATGGGCCAGAGTGGTTAGAACGTTTGTTTTCTGACCATGTGACCTGAGTTTGAAAATCTCACCATAGTTGATTTGTCAGGAAGGTTACTTCTTGATTGTTATTTGGTCTGGAAGAGACAATCCCAGTATGCAACACCTTTGCCTGAAAACTATACCACAGTTTGATCCAAGCCTTGTGAGTGAAATTGGTTAGACGGAAACCTTGGGAGCTGTTATTGGTTGTGCCAGCACAAAGTCACAAGTCATTGTGACCGAGGGTTTGAGTATGCTGGCCTTGTTCAGACTGTTGATAATGCACATTCTCCCAGAAACTAAGTAATGTCCGCTCAGCATAGTTGCAATATAAACCAGAGGTCAGTCAACTCTGTGGGTGTTGAACAAACACAAATGTGTCTGAGCAGGCGTCTGCAATAGGGTATTGGCTTGCGGCCCTAATAGACGGGCATCCTCTGATATGACTGGCTGCGCCATTTAGAAGTATCATTCTAACCACTTCATGAGGTGTTGCATGTCCTTTTCTTTTTTTTTTTAATCATTTCACCCCAAGCAAGGTGCGAATGCCACTAGTACACAGGGGGGGGGGGTACAGAGATTGAGAGAAAAGACTGGGTATGGGGAGGGGGTAAAAGATGAATGGGATTCAAGATGGCAATTGGCATTGCATTAAATTTTTTGAAGATTGTAGCTATCAGGGAAGGAAGTTCCACGGGTGGAAAGTATGAGAAAAGAAACTGTTGGGGTAGAAGTGACGGTTACATTTAACTCTTACAACAGTAAAAGGGTGGGACCTATATGCCAATCTAGTAAAATGCTTAAATTCATGTAGTTGGGGCCCCAGAGGATAAAAAAAAAGCTTATCAGAGCAGTAGCCATGAAAATATTTGTAGAAAAGACAGAGGGAAGCCATGTGAAGCCAGTGAGAAAGTGACTGAAGTTGAGATGCCAAGTCAGGATTGCAGATTCTTCCAAGTGAGATGAATAGCAGGAGCACCAGACCAGTTTAGATTTTGACAAATTGAATTTGTAAGGTTTTTTTTTTTTTTTTTACATATTTAGTGATTTTCTAACAAACTCGAAAGAATTAAATTTGAAGAAATTTCCAGCATTTTTTCAATCAAGTGTAAGATTTTATTTATGGAACAATATTTTACACATGGATGTCCAAATATATAATAATTCTTGGTGGGCGACTGTCATTTCTATTGCAAGTTTCATTGCTTACAAGATGTGTAAAGCTTTCAAAAGGAATTGGATTTGACACAGCAAGGGAGAATGGCAAATTTAAACAGATATTGATTCTTGGAAATGCTACAAGAATTTGTTTCCTGCTAAGTCAAAGTTTACCATGCAATGTCAGGATAATCTGACTTAATCCATGGATTAAGCTACTATATTGGTGATTTTAAAAAAAAAAAAAAAAAAAAAAATCTTTCAATTTTTCCTTAAATAAAAATTTCCCCAGAATTATTTCTTCCTGATCTTGAACCTTTAGGGAAACCAAACATTTGTTTTTTTTTTTTTTTTTTCTTAGCCATGTTCATCTTGTCACTAAATCACCTTTTTCGAAAACCTCAGCCATTTCACATAAATAATGAAACTCATGGGCTATGTCATATGTACAGTCATCAGCTTTGACCCTGTGTTAATATCTTATTGGATTTCAATAATAAACCAACACTGGGTTAATTCCAACTTCACATTCCCCACTCACTCCAATTATTTAATTTCTCAAATTTTGTCTTTTTTTTTTTTTTAAATTCAGTGTAATTCTTCTTGTTCCTTCACATGTAACATCCTCATCTTTGTTGCATTTATCACAGCATTTTGTCCAAGAGCCTGTTGCAATCAATACCTTTCAAGGTATTTTAAACTGAACATATGTTGTTCCTATCCTATGATCCCCCTCCCCCCCATGTCTAACAGCCTTCCTTGGGATTTAAACTTACAGCTTCATCTTCCTGCCACTAATCTCATTGTCACCTCACTACTTTTCCACCAAATTGATGTACTGCTTAGTCCAGAGATTGAATTCGGATTCTGAATTTAGCCTGTATTAAAAAGTGAAAATTACAGACAACATATCTTTTCGGCATGAAATTCAGTATCAAAATTCTTTGACATTTACTATGCTTGAGGAAGGCTGGAGAATAGATTGACTGAAATGTCATTAAAAAAAAAAGAAAAGATGAGGATCCCTACTCCAAAAGAATAATTGCATAAAGTTTTCTATGTCAGAAATTGTTTGTTTTTTGGGTTTTTTTTGTTTTTTTTTACCTACTTCTGTTCTAAAATACCAACCATAAATATTGTCTAAAAAAATGAATTTTAAGTATGACATTACAAAATCCTGAAACCATCCAACTGTTCATTTTATTTATTGTATTTGCCTAAATTGAAAGAATTGGGTAATTTGTGATGTTTGAAAATCAGATCTTTGTAAGGGTCTGGAGTGGGACACATCTGTGACTTTGAGGTTACCAGTTTACCTTAAGCAGTAAAACATAAAAACAAACTTAATCTGATGAAGTCCTGAAAGTTGAAACATGTCACATGAAAACCTTTTCCTTTTTGTCATACATCTTTCTGCTAATATATATATATATATATTTTCTGATGCTTTGATATTTTGTCTTATATATTCAGTTAGTAGTTTTTATAGATACATATACATACACACTGAACTTCTCTTCCACTTTTAACAGCAATTTCAAAGCTAACAAGAAGTGACTGACAAAAATGCAACTATTTTAGCCACCACACCAGATTTAAAAAAAAAAAAGTAATAGAACCATTCAAATGGAACATTTTACACACTTTACCTCATTGCAAAGCTCTCTTCTGTCTGTCATTGAAATAAAGAATCTGGTTTTCTATGTTCTGAAGAAAGACATCTGTGCATTTTGGATTTTCTTGTCATTGCAGGCTTTGAGATACAGTTTCTTCCAAGTCGGGGCCAATTTAAGTAGTGCCAAACAACAGCAGACATCAGTGAATAACGTGTCCCTTCCTTATCCTGCCATTGGCCCTTTGGAACCAACCAGCAATTATTATACTCATCCACAAACAAAGCCATTAGCTGAGAATCGAGCCACCAACATCCTGCCCTCTCTGATGAGTGCAAATAAAATAAAACAAACAAACCATGAAACAAAGGTAAAACTTTAAATATTACTGACCCAACTTGTAAGTTTGTGCCTTGAAATTTGAGGTGGGGGTGGTGGTCGTCCTATGACACTTAGGTTGGCTGAAGATTTTTTTTTTTTACATATATCTTTAAAAAATTGTTTCAGCTGCAACTCATCAACCTTCTGCCTATAATACCAATACAGTATATTACTTTACTTATAATGAAAAAGAAAGCATATCAACAAAGAATCAAAATGATTCAAGATCAAACACTTTTCTTTCAAGGTTTTTTTTTTTTTTTGAAAGTATTCCTTTTCTTTTACAGTATTCCAAATTTACATTGCCAAAAAAAAGTTGGCAAAAAAAAAATAATGTATTCATATGCAAATTTCCACTATATAAATAGCAGTTGATACAACCAGAGACTAAACAAATTCTAACTTTGAAGACAAAACTACTAGAGAAATAGTGGCGAATACTTTTAACTTGCTGCCTCCACAAAAACGATACCTAACATTTAAGATTAATTTTTAATAATGAAAAATCTTTCTTGAAACTTATTTTAGTTTTAATTTCAATCAGAGATTAAATTTATTATTTCCAATAAACAAAATACTATATTTCAAAACTAATTTAAATTAATTGGAAATAATTTTTTTTTTTTTTAAATTTCTAAAAAATTTTGAATTTAGTGCCATTTTTTTGCAGTGTTATAAAAATGTAAAACTCCTTAAAAATTCTTCCAAAAATGAAATATACTTTTCTGAAATTTTATTTGAGGAATATTAGCTGATTTAAAGTATAATTAATCCGATTTGAAACTGCTATTATTTTTTTTTTAAGTTTAAGATATCAGAAATGCATTTTTCAACACAACAGTAGATAAACAATCACATAGGTGTTAAATGTGACAACCGATAATGGCTGAATTTTTGTTCTATTTGCTTTAACCGTAAAAAAATAATTTAGGAATATAACATGAAATGTTTTTCATTAATTTAATGTTTTATTGAATTTTGCCTCTAAATTTACTAGAGTTGTCGCTCTTACTTTCTGATAGTGTTGTGCATGGGCAACCAGATCTTTAAAATTCTATGCATTTATACAAAAACTTTTTTCATTTTCTTTTTTTCTTGTTTTTTTTTTTTTTTTTTTGTTGTTTTTTTAATATTTGGGGGTGTCAAGCTTTGATATATGATCAGTAAAAATTGAATTTTAAGATTTAAAAATATTACAAATTATTCTAATTAAAAAAAATTAAATCAAATCTTGTAAGAATTCATTTTTCATCGAAAATTTTTTTTTTTTTTAAGACAATATTGTCATTAATATATATTATCCATAAGAACAATTAAGTTTTTCTAATTAAATAACGTCTTAATTTTATTGTATTTTTTACTTTTTGATTTAGAGCAAACAGAGCCTGATTTTGCAAAAAATTAAAATATAAATAAATAAATTGGTGATTTATATACTCAAAGAATTTTGCTTTTAGCTAATATAGTCACTAACAATTATCACATTGAATTTCTCAAGTTTTCATAAAATTAAGTAAGGGGTGAAACATGTTAAAAAAAAAAAAAAAAAATTTATCAAGATTTTCTAATCAAAAACATTTCTTAAATAATTTCATTCATTTGTGAATAAGTCCTAAAAATTTCATTAGACACTAAAATTTTCTAAGCTAAAATATAATACATGAAATGACGCAAGAAAGACAAGAATTTTAATCAAAATTACAAGTGTTCTAGAAAGGGAGTAAAAATATTAATTAAAAATTAAAAAAATACTTTGATCTTTCCTTTCAATAAAACCATGTTCTCATCACAGTAGGCTGATTTACTTCTTTTTTTTTTCTTTTTTGTGATTTTGTAGAGGTACCTACTTTTAACTAATTATAGCTTACAACAGTACCCATAAATTCCCAGGTTTAATCCCAATAAACTACACTAAGTACCAAATTATTTTATTTTGATTCAATAAACAAGACTAACCGGTCATCTTCTGTATACCTGCAGGAACCATCCCGATTATTACAAACCAAAAAACCAAGTGCCCGGAAACGTTGGGGTCTGGATTTATCATGGGATGATTTTGATGATTTTGATTTTGCTGATCACCAGAAAAGGAATCAAACCATTCCATCATTTTTGAAAGAAAATAAAAATGATGGTAACGACAAATTATTTGATGAGGATGATGCTGATGATGATTTCACAAGGTAAGTGAAACTTCTTAAGTGTTTTTAGACCATTTCTTTACACTATTTATGTTGTTCAGAGCATTGTCCTCATATTTGTTGCCATATTCACGTTTCAATCGTTGTACATTCCAACCTTCCTCAGGTGATTGGAATTTCAAATGGAACCCTTTATTTCATCCACCTAGGGCAGAATGTTCTAGTGCCATGCTTCTTCTGGATGTCTCAGTTATCTCCCTTTAACTTAACTCCCAAGTTTTTGTTCACCACTGCAGTAGCCAGGTATTGACCCCCCCCCTTTCATTCCATATGTGGTCAGCTATACCTGATTTTTCTATTTCCTCTTGTGTTACAGCTTTACAATGTTCTCGCAGTCTTACCATAAGGAGGCAGCCCGTTTCTCTTTTATATTTCTTACCACAGATGCACAGGATGGCATTACATGGGGAGGAAAAAATGGTTACCGAGACATTATGAGTCCCAAAATTTCATACACTGATGTCGTCAAGAACGCATGGCCCAATGGATAAAGCTTTGGATGAACACAGAGTAGCGAGTTCAATACCTGGCTACTGCAGCAAAAATTTGGAAAGTTAAGTTAAAAGGGAGATAACTGAAACATTTGGAAGAGGCATGACACATGGAACTAGAACCGTCTACCCCACTGGACAAAATAAAGGGTTCAGTTTGAAATTCCAATCACCTGAAGGCTGGAGTGTACAACAGCCGAAACAAATGCCATGAATATGGCAACAAAAATCCAAACAATTACAAGAGATTTTCTTTCCTGCTTATTTAATTTCAAATCTTCTGCCACAATTTGTCCTTAAATTCCAACTACTTCTCAGCAGCAAACTTACCATTGACCAATTTTGCTATTTCTTCCATTGCAGTTTCCTTAAAATTAAGGCCAATCCTCACCCAAAAGCGGCTGACAACAATCGACGGAACTCTGGTCAGCAGACCAGTCGGTCATCTGCCAAACAGTATTACCTTGGCAAGGCACGATATGTTCCAGGTCAGTCTTTAGCCCAGCCTTCAATTCTTTGAATAACTACGATGGACATGTTTTGATTTTTACCAATAATTTTTTTCCTTTCATTTTTGAATATCTTCCAGGAATGAATCCAACAGCAGGAATAACACGGAAAGATAATGTGTCATTGTGGAATCCAAAACCATACAACATTTCTCGAAACAATAATCCAGGTATTTCCCCCCAACCCCTTTGCCATTTTCTTATTAGACTAGATTTAGCCATCTTCAGTAAAATTAAGCTATAATAATAAAATTTCATAGACTCAACTATTTTAATGAAAACACACACACAACATATAAAGATTTGGTTCAAAACAATTCTAATAAATTTTTGGCACCAGCCTCTTATTTGTCCACTCTTTAGTAGTGACTATATTTCATGCTTTCCTACCAACTCAATTCTGTTATGCAAGTATACAAACTATGAACAAAAAGAACATATTCCTCAGCAGCAAAGCTCATGTTAATTAATGTACTTTAGTAGTGAACATGTTAGTAAATCTACTCCCACTTTTTCAAAATTCACACCTCATCCTCCATAAACTACTAATACCTGCTTTTAGTCACTGGGCAAAAATTGCCATTGTTTGGATTACATGTCACAGGGGAGGGGGGGGTCAAATCAACATGGAACACCAAAACAAAAGCTTTAAGCAAATGAAATTAATCAACATTGTCACAAGTTATTAACTTAAGAGTTACTAATGTGGATTTGACAAGTGAATCTGCACACGAGGGGTGTAACGTGTTTTTTATACTTTGAAGAGAATTTACCATTTCAAGCTAAAAGAAAGTGAGATTTGAATATAAGTTTAGCCTCTAAAGCTGAAAGATCCAATTTCATTTTGAAATTTATTTTTGTTCCAGATTATGGCTGGAAGCGTGCACCAGCCCCACTGTCTTTAGGCAAGAATTCTGCCACCTATCGGCCTTCTGTTGGAGCCACAATACACGGGCGCACAGATTGGGGAGCCAAGTGAGTATTGAACATTAAAATCAGATGCAAAGAAACTCCAAATATAGGCCTCTCTGCAACTACTCACTTTGCTATCATCTGATATTTGGTGTTTTGTAAAATCATTCCCTTGACACATTTTGTTGCTGGAAGTTTGTTTTGTTGGGGTTTTTTTTTTTTTTTTGCTCCACTCTCTCTTAATTGTTAAGATCAATTTGTTAAATGCCAAAATGCAAGAGCTTAACATACCCTTGCCTGACTTTTCTACATTTGGGTGGATTCATACAGTCTTATAATTTAATACCTTCATCTCTTTCAGGTATCTAAAGTCATGAAAAGGAAGAATTTCCTGATGAGATGAACTGTATAAAAGACCACTGAGAGAGGAGGATTTAACAAGGACAAACAATGAGATTTTATGGAATAGGAACAATTTCCATTCTCTTCTCTCGCATTAAATTTTACTAAAGTTTACTAAAAGTATTGTTTTGTCTTTAGTCTTTAAACCAATGGATTGCTTCCAGTTGAAAATCCTCATGAGAGAGGTGCTACATTTTAGAGAATAATTTACAGGATTACTTAATTAAAAAAAATAAAAAATAATTCAGTCAACATAATTTTTTTGTTATGACATCAATTTTTGTATGGATCGTCATTTTATAACAGTGTAAATATTCTTTTAAAGCATGTATCATCAATCTTTACTTCTCATATTTTGTGCAGATATTTTAAATTTAACCCATGTAGTTTTTATATATATATATATGGCAAATATCATTTGTTATAATCCAATCTAGACTCCTGTCCCAGCAATATCTTTACAGCATCAGTTAAAACTGTTCGGTTCAGACATTTTGCTAAGTCAAGCAACAAAGCATTCTGATTAAATAGAGGGACGGTTTCAATTACAGGAGACACCAATTCCATACATAGTTAGACACAAATATGGTTAAAGTGTACAGCAGATTTACGGTAACATCAGAAGCAGAGACTTTAATGCAAAACACAACTTGTAATGTAAAGAGGTGCAGATTCTGTATCCACATTTATGATCTCTACATGGAAAGCTAGAAATGTATTTACCCATATAGCTTTATTCAAATTGGGATTTCTTATTGAAAATTCCAAATCTATAATTTAGAAGAAGATTTTCTTTTCCTAAGTATTCAAATCAATGGATTTTTTTAATCAAAGATTTTATGGATACACAAGTTTGAGTTTACACACATCAGGGAATCTACTAGGTCTACTGGCATATATATATATATATATATATATAAAAAACACTGGATCATTATTTATACATCACCATTTGTAGAAATCTCAATCTTATTAAAATTTTAGTTGAAAGAAGCTTTAGCCAATAAATACTTAACGGAAGATGCCACTTTCAAACCATAAATGCACAAATTTTTTTTTCAGTGTAGAAAGTGAGTCAGGGGTGGGAGATTTATTCATGATTAATTTACAAGGCTATGAATGAGCAAAGGGAATATTTGTTGAAAACAAGGATCATTAGCTGGAAGAATTATTTTGAGGGCTGGTTACAAAACCACAGAAAATCCTAACATTCCATAACTCTGCTGCTCCTCCTCCCCATCAGGAAGAAGATTTACTTCAAGCAAATAAATTCTATTTGCTGCTCAGATGTGCAGATTCCGAGAGAGAAAAAAAAAAAATCTGATCAATTGAACCTGCCCAATGCAAAATGGAGTTAACAGATCCACTAAAAGAAGCAGGTAAGTTGTCTTGACCTGTGGTAGTTAGGGTTACGCACAAAAGGAAATAAGAAAAAGGGAAAAAATACATTAAATTACAGATTTATTATTCGTGGAAAAAAAACATAAAAAAAAAAAAAAAATAAAAAGAAATTTCATTGTGAGCAGAAAATAATCTATCAAAGTAGTTGCTACCAGCTGGCGAGAGTGACTTGATGAAGATTCAGATATCCACAATGGCTGGTCCCCCCCCTGCACGCCGCCCCTGGGTACGGAGGGTGACATTTAACGGGGGAAAGGTTGGTCCGTCTAGCTGGTTAGTGTGGAGTAGGTAGATCAGCTAGCACACTGCTGCAAGAGGCCAGACCAAAAGTCAAGAGATTGGGGAGAAAGAGTTTAAAAGAAGAGAGGTTTTGATAAAGATTTTTGAATATTTAGTAAGAAGGCAGAGAGAGAGAGAAAAACTAAAAGGTGAAATTAGACGTGTGTGTGCTTTGCTTTTCTAATAACGAGGGGGGGGGGTCAGTTAAGATTAATGCTATTCCCAGTTGACCACAGTTGATCATAGGCAAATGCAACAAGCATAGATGGGCTTACAAGAACAATTAAAACAATTTCAGGATCCAAATTGCAAAAAAAATGTCCCTTCACAAAAGGGAAGTGTTCAGAGAGAAAAAAGAAAATGGCAGAGACGAAAGCATTCAAAGTTAATTTTTTTTAAAAAGAACTGAATAGACAAAATAGAAGCATTTAGCAATTTAATTATTTCTTGCTCTTTTCTGAATTGCACCCAATACCTTTATGGGGGTCTTCAGTTGCCAGCTAGATTTTGAGAAAACAGTGGAGCAGAGAGACAAGAATTAAACAATCCTAAGTAGAAATAATAATGGCAGCACCAATTGCAAACTGTCCATTAACGAACGCAAGCAGAACAATTGTCAAGGCAAAATTTGGCAAATTAAAGAAAACCAATTTAACATTTTGGAAAGAAGCCAATATGGCTACTTAGAATGTTTTTTTTTTTGTTTTTTTTTAAAGAGAGGGGAAGGGGGCGGCAAGAAAAGGTTGAAGCTCAGCACAAAGTGTTTCTTAGAGAAACACATATGCATGGACTTGATATATGCCAAGATATATACAGTATTCTATCAAAAAGCTACAAATCTATTTGATAGACATTCTATCTGGTTACGGTATATAGACATAATATACCTGCAAATAGTTATGTTACCAGCACAAAGAAACAGATAAGGGACAAGAAGAGCAACTAACCCTGGTTATTGCAAAGGCAAACTGGAGGGGGAATTATTAAAGGGGTGGGGGGGGGAGGTAAAACCAGACGGACTAACCAGTAAAGATGCTCCAATGATTATACAGGCTTTCTGGATAGTGATGTCAAAAATCAGACAGCAAGCCAAGCAACATTCAAAACTGCAGTGCTCTATGTGGAAATAACAGGCTTAGGAAATGTCTTCCTGTAGGGAGGCGGGGAACCAAGGGAGTCGACAGAATTCCAGGAGTTTTAAAAGAATTCAGGAAGTGCAGGGGACGCGTTTTTCCTCCCCTTTTTAAGCTTTTTTTTTTTTTTTTTTTAATTAGTTAATTTATTTTTTAAGTTTTTTTATGTTGTCCCTTTTCTTCTGCTTTGTGTCCAACCAGGAACAAGAGGTATGAATACTTTTCATTTTCTATTTCTCTGGAGTCTTTATGTAAAAAAGTCTCAAAGTATATTTGCTGCAGTATGCCATATAGTCACCAGCAAAACATTGTACATACATGCACATATGCACACTATCATACACACAGACACACACACACAGAGCCAAATCCATCCATACACTGTCACCAACAGTATCTCACCATCTCCATCAACACATCGCCAACTACTCACAGGTTCTGTTGATTCTAAAGCCTCGAGTTACTGGCCAACCTCGAGTTAAATGGTCAGTCTTTTTTTTTTTTTGCTTTTTGTTGTTTTTTTTGTTTTTTTTCCCTCTTATTTCCCCCCCTACCCAAGTTTTTCTCATTCTTCAAAAAATTCTTTACAATTTATTTCTTTTATTTTTTTTTTTTTTTTTTTTTAGAGTTTTTTTTTTTTTTCTTCTTTTTGTTCTCTTCAATTTCATCTTACAATGGAAAGCATAGAATTTGTTACTGACAGCAAATATGTCCGTCGCCGGCAGCCCGAGCATGCGGATGTGGCGGAGGCGAGGAGGGCAGGCGGGCGAGGGCAGCGGCGGCGACAGCGGCAAGGGCTGATCCAATGAAAAGTACAAGTAATAAGTAGTCCATCCAGGGGAAGGGTGTAAGGGGACAGGCAGTAGGGAGATGCTGCTGCAATTGACCAAAGAGTGGCCATCCTATGGAATATGGTTGCCAGGCTAGGGCAGAAAGAGCAGCAAGACAAGGGTGGGGGGGAGAAGGGGCTTGGGTGAAAAGAAGAATCTGGCAGGCAGTAGCACTAACAACACTTTCGACTGCTACCTTCCTGCTTATGCACATCAATGCCCCTTGGTTCAGAGTCTTTGCTGGGAGTCTGAAAGAAAAGAAATCAAGATTGAAACTAAATAGAAACAAAAATGGAATGAGTTTAATGTTAGTAAATTTCATTAAGTCTCATTTTTATACACCCCCCCCAAACAATATTTCTTTTGTATCTTTGCTAAGAGATGAAATTTTAAAAAAATAAATTCAGTAAATAAAAAGGTACATGAAATCAAAGGTTTAGGGTCGATATACTACTGTCCGTCATTTAATGTCAAAACGACCCTCCCCCAATTATATGGCTTTATAAACAATCCTTTGGATTGTTGGTTCCATCACTTTCAAGTTATGCCTTTAGAACTGTGTTATTTAGGCTCTACTTTTATCCCCTTGGAAAGGTTCTCTAGACTAGTCAGGTCATAAAATTGTTAACATAAGAGCAAGGTGACTGCAATCAATTAGAATGTGTTTTACAGTATATGTCTCCTAAAATGCTGTTAATTTTTAAGGCAAAATGGGTGGGTGATATGGAACTGTTCTATTTCAATTCTTCATAGGACAGCTTCTTCCAAGACCATGATGTCATTCTTTAAGAATGGGCTTAAATTTTATAAAGTTTGTTTGGGTGGGAGTTACATAACCCTTGCCTCTCGTTTAGAATAGGAATTTATAATTGCTTTGGAGTCTGTATGGGGGAGATTTTTTAAATATGAAATGTTAATTTTTAAGGATTCCTTTGCCGCAGATAGTGATATGGCTGGGTACCCAACAGAAAAATTTTAGATTGATCCTGTTTAGCAATTTAACTGTTAAGGGGGATTGTGTTTTTTATTTTTTAGTGATGCAAATACGATGTCTAAAGCTAAGTCTATTACTATAGCTTCTTCACTAAAATAGAGTTTTGTAAGGTAGGCATCATTAAGAATAAGAATTTGAGCCAACTAGGTGTTTGGGTGCTCCAGAAAAAAAAAAAAAAAAAAAAAAAAAAAAATCAAAAAATCAAAATCAAAAGGGTAGATGGACTGGTATTAGTTTTAGGGTGCTTTGTTAGACAAGCTGGAAAACTCGTCTTTGCTATGTTTGACATGTACACTATTAATGAATCAAAGCCAAAAGATTTGAAGTGCTGGGGGTCGAACAGATCTTTATAGTGGTATTGGTGAAACATTTAAATGCAGAGTTATTCAAATAGAAACGTAATTTAGTATAGTATTGTTGGATTAATTTCTGCTATCTTTGTATTAAAAGCATTTTATGAGTGTTTGCATCAGAGATGTTCTAAAAGCTCTTAGGACGAGTTGCAGTCCCTGATGAGGAATAGCAACAAGGATTTCAGGTACAACCTTATTGCAGCACCATAAATAAAACATTTGCCATGTATCCATGAGGATATCATAGGCTCTTTCAATGCTGTCAAGTGTTCTTTACTAAAAGCTTTTCCAATAGAAAGTTCTAAGTGAACCAGCTGGTCTATTGTACTTCTGTTTCTTTCTAAAACCAAACTGGAAGGTTATTTTAAAATTAAGGAATGTGGTAAACTTATCATCCATTTGGGAGTTCTGTAAAACTAGTAAGTATGATAGACTCAAATAGTTTGAAGGAATTTAAAAGTTTTCATCAGTTTTCAGAATTGAAATTATGATGGCTTGTTTCCAGGAAATGAAATATTACCCCCAATTCATATATTATTATTATAACTCAAGTCATTGAAGGAAATATGTACGTTCTTAAGGAATTTGTAGTGTGTGGATGTGTGTGTGTGGTGTTTTCTTAGTCCACTAGAAAAAAATGGAAACTTTGTTATTTTGGAGGAGTGGGGGGGGGGGGTCTTGAGAATTTTTATTTTTGGAGGAGGCCACCAAGATGCCTTTTTGGGATGTCTTTTTTTCTTTTTTTTTTTTTCCCCCTTCTTAAGACTTAGTAAAGAACTTCTGGATTGTGATGTTGATCTTTGTCTTTTTAGTTTTATTTTTGGGATTTCTTCATTTGTGTTTAATATAAGAGATTTCCATTAAAATTTAACTTCATTAATTCATTTTGTCCTTGCCTTCTTTGTTTTGAGCTCTTCATTCTCATTTTTTGGGGGGGGGGGGTTTTTACTAATATCAAAATTATCTTGTCCAGCACAATTCATCTTTTCTTACATCTCAATAACATAACCTCAGACATTGACTGGAAAATTTGTAGAAACAAACACTGACCTTATTCAAAATTGCTTGAGCTAAATCCATGAAGGCTCTCTCTACATTGATGTTGGCCTTGGCACTGGTCTCTAAGAAAGGTATTGAATGTTCACGGGCAATCTGGAGGAAAATAAAATGAAATTAATACAAAATGACTACCTCAGCTCAAAAATCAAATATGGTAAAATATTTAAATGACAACTTAAATTTGTAATTTAGATACTAAATAAAAGACTAGATTTGATGTTGAAATTCAGGTATTTGAAGATGTATTTCTTAAAATCACAAGCCTTTATACAAAGAAGTTAACACTGGAGAACTGCTACAAGAACATATCAGATGGGAAAATTATGATAGAAAGCTCTCATCATAGTTTTGGATCAACGAGAAACAAAGTTAAACCCAACAGTACAAAAAAGTGGTAGTGGACAATATCCGCCCAAGCTTAAGCTTGGGATGCAGGCATTTTCTTACTGTTGATTCCAGCAGGGCCGTGGGGGTGGGGGATTCTTCAGGTTAAAGTTAGGTTCTGAAGATGTGGCACTGTCCAATCTAGTTAATAAAAAAAGTGCTAAAAACAATATACAAAGTTATTTTTAACATTATCACATCAGAAATACTTTTCCAAAATAATTATGAGGAGCTGCCAACTAGTTCTCACCCTGACCAAGAAGGAAATTGAAATAAATTAATTTTGATGCTTGATCAGATTGTTAGTTTGACCAAAATAAGTTTTCAACATTTATGAAAATTAATGCTTAAATAAGGAAGAGATTATTCAGAGTAGATGCAAGAAAGCGTTTTTAATATTACTAAAAGAAAAATTCACATGTATCTAAAATCTTAATAGAGTAGGGAATGCCGAGTGTGTATCAAACAAAAATGTTAATATTCATGCCCATGTTACGAGAGATTAAATTGGTAAACAATTACCTCCCTTCCACATAAGAAAAGTTTAGTTATCTCCCCTTTGTATAAGCTGATACAAAGTAATTTTAAACATTACTCGACTTGTATTATCTAGCTTAAGAGATTTTTTTTCTACTTTTAGAAGACCTGAGCTCTTTAAAAGTACTTCTTTCAGTATCAGTAGCCCGATTTGCTGTGCGAGTGTTTGAAGAAAAATCAAAGCACAAAAAGTTTGAAGCAGCACAACATAGTAAGAGTTTTTAATACAAATATTCTAAGTTTGTATTTATTCATTTAAAACAAATGGCCTAAGTGCATGGAGAGGAGAAACACTTAACTTTCTGAACCTCTTAAAAGTATTAATTACATTTTTCTATTAAAAACACATTCAGTAAATGTAAAAGGAATGAAAGAAAAGTGAAAACAAACAAAATTACACATACAGAATCACCACGGTCTTTCGACACCTGCCTCTTGTCATCCATGTCGCATTTGTTTCCCAAGATCATTTTTTCAACATCTTCATTTGCATGCTGAAAATTAAATAAAAAAAATTAAAAAAAATTAAAAAATTTATACATAAATAAATGCCAAGCCATTTGGATCAATAGAAGGGGTGAGGGGGATTGATAGATATATCTAACACCACCATGACCCAAAATAAAAATGTGAGTAGGCTTCCCCCAATTCTTAAAAGTTAAGTCCCAAAATTACGTATTGAAGGACAATGAAGTCTCCTTGTTTAGCCTAATAGAAAAACATTTGATTAGTTTGCCTTTTGGTTCAGTTTCTAAAAAGACTGACCCTCCTGTCAACTATGGCATTAACAAAAACATTTACACACTCATATAATGAGAGATAAAATGCCAATACATACCTCATCAATGTTCCTCAACCATTTGGAAATATTGTCAAATGTTTTGCCGTTTGTTATATCATAGACTAGCATAATTCCCATGGCACCTCGGTAATAAGAGGTAGTGATGGTATGAAACCTCTCTTGCCCGGCTGTATCCCTTGGGGAGAAGAAAAAAATTAAAAAATTAATCAACTCTGAAAAAAAAAAAAACCATTTACATAGAGTATAGACACCTTCAGACAGAGAAAATGCATTTCAAAGGGAAAAATTAAATTTATTTTAATAACACTGGAACTTGCAAAAGTATTTCTTCCTTGCTAAAGACTAATGAAAAAGTTCAAAATAAAGAAATTGACCAGGATAACTGATTTGATCAATATTTGACACATTAAATAAGTGAATAACAATTGAGAAAAAAAAAAAAAAAAAAATAGTACAATTGATTAAGTGACTCATGGAGTTCAGATGAGAGAGAGGACGAAAAGAAAAAAAAAAAAAAAAAAAAAAAAAAAAAAAAAAAATTGTCCATGCAATCAGTTTTTATATTTTGGACAACTTGTCATAAAATTTCAAAGCAAAACATTAAGGGGGTTAAAAAAAAAAAAAAAAAAAAAAGACTATTTTTATTGCTCAAGAGAAAAATATAGGTTAATTGACTAAAACATTTCTTAAAATGATTACATAGGAATGAGATTTTTTTTGTTAAGTAAAAGGAGAAACTGAATTTCAGCAGCACTGTCAAATGAACAAATTGTTTGGCATAGACAAATCATTGGTTGAAAACTTCCAACCATTAAGTGCTATGGATAAAGGACATTTAAGCAAAAAGAAATTACTACAGACTTCAGTATAAAACCACTCAAAAAGGCACAATCACCAGTAATTTGGGCTGTAATCACAGACACTACATTCCAATGAGTTACCATCTTATTGCAACAAGTCTTAAGTGAACCAGGTGAGCAACAAAAGAAAAAATATTCTATCAAGCAGCTGCATTAATAAAATATTGATAATTCTAATTAACATACAAGACAGTAAAAAAAATTTGTCAAAAATTAAATAGGAAATCAAAATATAGCAAATACTATGAATTCATATCAAAAAAAAAATTCAGAAATAATAATAGGTAGTTAGGTGGAGAGATAAAAGTTGTAAATTTCAGATCTGTTCATATATTTGGAAATTACAAAAAGTTAGATTTTTTTTTATTAAAAAGCAGTGAATTAGTTTTTATTTACTACAGGCAAGAAATTAGGAAAAAATTTTCTAGACAAAGAATATTTTGCATTTCTATAGAAAATTAAAAACATTTCATCAGCACAAGATGAAAATACAGAAACCAAATAAGACATTTTTCAAAAAAAAAAAAAAAAAAAAAAAAAAAAAAAGCTTTACATCTGTATAAACTCTGCCAAACTTGCCATGAAACTATTCACATTTTAAAGAATAATAGAAGCAAAGTAGCAAAATAGTAACAATACAAATGTAGAGTGGATGAAATTGGAAATCTATATTTCAACAATTCAAAATCAATTCAGAACTGGCAAATATCAGTTATTAAATTACAAATGTATAAAATCACTTCAGATGTTAAATGGACATGTGAGTAATAGTGAAGAGGATTAAGTAAAATGCTCCAATGAGAAATGTTTAAAATGCAATGTTTTAAATGGGAACTTTTTTTTTTTTTTTTATAGAATTATACCCCTTGTCTGGTCGCTATTTTAAATAGTGGGGTCAAAAATCTAGACCAAAACAAGCCAATTAACTTGTATTTTGACAAATTATATTCATTAAAAGGTAAGAGGTAAGGTTCATTGACTACTTCCCATTTAAGATCCAATAAAAACAAGTTTTTCCAATGCACACAAATAGGAAACAGGCAGACAATAGCAAAGATTTATTTAAGAAACAATCATGACATGAACTCTGATCACAATTGTAAAATGAAGAGCAAGAATGAATCAAAAGATTCTAAACAGAAGTCTTTTAGAAATGGGAAATGACATTTGATGCAAGTACAAGAACTTTTTGGTATATTGGTTATTTAGTGTTAAGCATAAAAAAAGGTTTTCTGCCAGGAAGAGATACTTGGCTGAATCACTAGAGTTACAAAAAAAAAAAAAAAAAAAAAAAAAAAAAAAAAAAGTGAGCAGCATTTTAGATTTCAGACAGCCTAGCAGAACTAATAAATTTGGTAAATGTGCAGCACCAAAATCCATCTGGGAAAGACACTTCTCAATCATTCTCTAATTTTTTTTTTTTTTAAGTTTCCACTCATTGAAAACAGTTTGATTTTCAAATAAATCAACTATCAAAAGATCTGTGAAGAAATCCAACAGTTATACTTGTTAATATCTTATCAGATTTGTCTGCAAGGGAAATATTTAAACTGCAGAAAGTGCAGCAGATGAAAATCTGGTTAATGTTAGGCTGGAAAGCAGACAAATCTCCAAGCAACCATTCAATCAAAGCAGGTGCTTTGTCAACTAGAAAGAAGTAAATAGTAATTAAAGCCTTCAAGTAGTCAGCTCTTCTGAACAAAGCTAAAATGTCATTCCTTTAAAATGCAAACAGCAACCATGCTATAAAAAAAAAAGAAAATGGTGTAGAGAACGAGACAAATGGCAAAGCAGAATAGACTGGAAAATTGCCATCATTCTGAAAGCGAGAAAGTAGTCAGTGACAAAAAAAAAAAAAAAAAAAAAAAAAAAAAGAGAGAAAAGAGAGAGACTGTATAGACAAGTGAGGAACTGCTTTGGTTGGCAGACATTTGTAAGAGCTTCTGCAACAACACATCAGCTGCCAATATGTATTTAGTTGCATAAGTGAAGAGATAAAAGGCATCAGAGAGAGAGAGAGAGAGAGAGAGAGAGATACAAAAAAACACATTTGGTCCCCATTGTCAAGATCAAAGAGTAGATATTTATTTTTTTTTTTAAATACAAATTGAAAGAGAGGACATAAACAAAAAATAAGTCAAACTAATAAAGTGACTTGAGTGGAGGGAGGTAAATGCAGTAGTTTAAATGCTCATAACCTCAATCAGCAAAGAAATTCTAGACAATAGTAACAACTCAATAATAAAGCCAAGTCAAAGATTGTGATGAATGCAAGAATAAAAAGCCAGGTATGTAATAGAAATGTTCACTTTTAAAGCAAATGCAGATTATTCAGATCAGCAAACTAAGAGTAACAAGGTATTCCTTTGTCAATACACAAATTCTCGTTTACTATAAGGATTTATCAAAGAAATATCGAGCCTGTAAAGCAAGTATTTTAAAATACATTTTCAGACTGCCTAGATGTTAATGTAAATATATCACAAGCTTTTGAATTTAAAATTCATCTTTAGAAATAGTTTCACAGAAATATACAGATTTGATAAATATCTGCATAAAGTTTGTGATAAAATGAAGTCACTTTTTTTTTGATAGGTTTATCCGATTAAAAACAAAAATGAAAAGTCTATTATAGAGCAAAAATTAAAGAACATCTTAGCTCCGATGCTTGCAATTACATCTCAATTAAATTGATAGTATTTTTGGTTTCATATTTCCTGTTTGACTGATGACAAAAATGTTTGGTATACAGTGATAGAAGGAACTGACGTTAAAAAAAAGGGGGGGGATTACTGATTTAGTGCAAATTGCATGTGAATTAATAAAAACTGAGTTAAAACCAAATGGATATCACATTAGTGTTAGCAAATTTGATCAGAAAACTAAGATATGGAAATGTTTAACAAAGATATTTCTTTATGGAAAAAAAAAAATAAATAAATAAATAAATAAAAGCTACCCTGGAGATAAGGACACAATTCTAATGCTAAATAAAAGGGAAATATGGCTGATGTGAATAATTCAAAAATGAAATAAATATGACCAACATGGTAAAAATGCTAAATTCTTGATATAAGTCATCTGCAATGATACAATGCTTTTAATAAAATGAAAATAAGGTCAGTAAACTCCAAACAGTTTGCAACAAAAGCTTCCTACCTTATATTGTATACAAAGGAAAGTACTATGAAAATGAATTGTTTATAATAATCAGGAGTTTTTATTTAATAGTGATTTTATTAAAAAATAAATAATAAAAAAATCCTTGTCACTGAGGCAAGCTAGGAAAGGCCAATATCTAGAGAAAGTACCAACTAATGTGGCATAGCCAAGTTATGAAAAGAATGCCACTAGTAATTTTCTTCCTCTTGTTGCTATTTGATATTAGGTACACCCAATCTATTGCTACTAAACACTTATGTTCAGTTTTTAGAGAATTAGTAGGAAATAAAAAGTCAGCTGAAAGTCATTTGAGTCAGTTAATCCAAAATCTTCAAAATTATTTTGTTGATGCATTTGGTTAAAAGCTAAGTGTATAATTCTGGCAAAGAAATCATTTTTTTTTTTATGCAGATGCTATTAATTCTAGACACACAGTTTATTATTCAAAGAATGTAAAAACTAAGGATTTTTATAACAAAAACTTATTCAGTAATCTGATACGAAGAAATTTCTTCATAAGTTAATATACTAAATTTATTAAGATTCAGATCAGTTTCCCTGCCCCCTTATATAGAAAAGAAAAAGAATTTTATGGAGGAAAAAAAAGGAGAAAAAAAAAAAAAGACTGACAAAGTGGAAAGTCTTCATTTAACGTTTCATCTTTTAGGACTTCAGATCAAAGTGATATTTATATTCATGCAACTACATATACACGAGACAAGATTCTGAGAATTAACTTTTTTTTTTTTTTTTTAGATATGTGTTTTGGGATAAATTGTCTAGCCAGTTTAATTTAGTTTCTTATGGTCTGTTGGATTTCCATTCACTTTTGTTATTAAATATCATCCCACATTGTGATAATAGAAGATCTGTCAAGAAAGATGAAATGTAAGAATCTACAATTTACCAAGATGAAAATATATAGAAAGCATTTTAGTCAATAGTTCACAGTAAATTTATGTCTAGCTTCTTACAACATTTCACTTTTTTTAACAGATCTATTACTACACTTTGGGATATTTAATAACAAAAATGGTAAAAATATTAATAAAAAAAAAAAAAAATCTAAATGTAATCAGCTAGACGACATACCTGAATACATTAAAAAAAATTTAATCTAAAAGATCTTGGCACCCCTTTCCTCCAGCGTAGC